TGCCCAACTATACGAGATGTTTAAAATTTGCTGATTGAAATCAAATTTGTCTACCTTTGTGCACAACAAAAGAAAAAAAAAACCCGCTTAAAACATGCAGAAGTGAGAACATGTTAGGGCTTGTAAATGAATTCATGAATTTCAGATCCATTTGAATTTATTAGTTTTGCGCCGAATTCCCAACGAAGGCAAAATGAGATTTCGCCCGGCCATTTTCATTCCATTTGTTCTTCGTTGTTTATAATGATACAAAAATATCATTGAACAGCAAAAAGGCCTATAATTTTGCTGCTGCGTAAAAATAATTACCGATAAACCCAATATCCAACGCACGCAAATTGGATTCCCTTATCTATAACCCACCTGGTTTCAGGATTTAGTAGCTATATTATACCTCAAATTTAAATTGTCCAATCAGGAAGCTAGATTTGTACCACGTGAGCATGAAATTTATCATCGTATCGCGCTTACGTCATTCGTATTTGGTGCAGCAGGAAATTTCAGTCATATTCACCGGTGAATATGAGTCAAATTCACCGGTGAATATGATTCGCGTAGACCACACGAGACAACACGCATGACAACAACATGGCCGACAAAGTATAAATAGTATTGATGAGTGATGAATAATCTGGGTAAATGACTGTAAAACCTGGGGCTTTTTCAAAATTTTGAAGTAAATTTTGAAAAATGTTGTCAATATTCCAAACGATATGTGATTCGAAAGAAAAGCGACGATACTTGCGTTAATCCGAAACTAAAACATCGTATTCACGAAGGTATGTGTCAAGTTTTTATTTCTCAACTTGGAGGCTTTTAATTTTCGGTATAATATATCATTTATAGACCCTCCGCTCGGGGGTTCGGCGAAATATTTCCCGAAGTGATGATATTTCCTTCGCCCTCGGGAAATATCATCACTTCGGGAAATATTTCGCCGAATCCCCCTCGCTCCGGGTCTATAAATGATAAATGTTTTGTTTTTCTGGTGATATATAGAAAGAATTATATTGCACGATTTTCAGTTAAAATGCTGATTCAAGGTGCAACATGGCACAAGACACGTTTTAATATTGCTGCGTTGATAAAAAAGTGTTTTTAAAGATATATACACTTGAGTTCTATAATGGTATTACAGCCAATATCAGTAAATAATTAACTATATACTTTACTTTTATCAAAGACATCTCGAATTTCCAGTTTCAGTTTAAAATCATGCTCATTGATATTTTAATAATTTTATTTCACTTGAAAATTCCAAAATAAAATATTCATTATGTATTTGGCTATTTTTTATTATGCTCTATATATGTTGATGTATAACAAGCAATTGCAGTATCTTCTTATATTATTTGCTTTGATAACTATTGATGCTGCATGGAATCGACATTGCTTATAAAATTCACTGTCGTGATTTATTTAGCATAATTAATTTCAACTATAAGTTATTCTGGGAAGCAATAAATATACTTGTGCCTTTATCAGGGCGATAACAGGCCGATGGCATAAAAACGATGTCACTAATATAGTTTTATGCATGGCATGCACTAGCTTACATCGCTTTTTGTCCCGCTATTTTAATAATTGTTGCATCGGGGCAATGATTAATATTTTAATAAATTCTGACAAAGGCACAAGTATATATAATAAACAGGTTGCCATAATCGAGAAAAAAACGACATCAGTTTCATCGCATTCAGGACGATATCATAAATACCCCTTGTTCGTGACATTTATTATGGTTCCTCAAGCGATAAAACTAATATTACCTCGCCCCTCGTATGGTATTACCACCTATAGGCCGTTCGCTGCGTCCCGACATCGTCCATTTTTATTTCCCATGTCTAGGAACTGAAATATTTTTACGGGAACTAACACTTTCGAACACGCTGAGTTTTCACCGTTCAACGACACGGATTGATGACGACAAACGATTATGTCACTGAAAAGGACCAATTTCTATTAACCAGTCTTCCTTTTAACAAAAGACCGTTTTGCTCGAATCATTTTGAGTTATGTAATCTTATATGCATGTTGGACGAATTAAACAACATATAGGCCTATCTTGTCTACAACTTTGAGAAAGTACAGATAACGCGTTCTAAAATCCTCAGTTTTAGCAATATCTCTATAAATCACAAGGACGTTAATGCTAAGTCTTTTGGTTGTGTCACCAGCCTCAAAAATAACTCTTTTACCGCGATCAAGGTATTTAAAACAAAAGTAACACGAAGCCAACAGCAAAGACAACACTAAAATGAAATATTGTCATTGGGTTGCTGGTAGTAGACTTACGACAGGATCAATCTTAAATAACTTTAAACTAAAGAATAAATGTTCACATCAAAGACAAAGATCAGTGCCAAAGTATAAAATCTGCTCTGTAAACTTACGACGAAGTGGAGAAATGTGTGCATGAGCTGTTTATCTGGTGATTTCAACGTATGCAAGCCCTCTTTCCAATAATATTCGCTTATCGAACAGGATAACACCAACTGGTATAATAGTTCAAATGCAATGATAAGTTACCTCTTGAATTACGTCTCAGAAACTGTGTTGGAAATTTAAATGCCGACCCATCACATAAGATTACCATTTTACATCTTTGAGTAAAACATTTAGACTTTTTGATCGCATGTGAGACATAGCGCAAAGATTTAACAATAACGTCCTTGTGATTTTATAGAGATAGAGCCAGAACTGATGATTTTAGAAAGCGATATCGGTACCTTCCCAAAATTGCCGATATGTTGTTTACGTCCAACGCGCTTAAAATTACATTAGGCCTAACTCAAAAGTGAAAATGATCCCAGCAAAACGGTCTTTTGTTAAACGTAGAGACTGGTTCATAGGAATGAGTCATTTTGAGTTATGTAATCGTGCATGTGTCTTCATCCATCCGTGTCATTGAACAATGATAAATTTTGACGTGAAATTTAGTGAAGATAAAATATAGCAGTTTGTGAGAAAACTGCGGGAACTTTTCGGATTTGAACTCAGCGTGTTCGAAAGTGTTAGTTCCCGTAAAAATATTTCAGTTCCAAGACATGGGAAATGAAAATAATTTTTTAGGCACTTTTCCAGGTCACAGAAAACGGCCTCAGCTTTAGGGACAAGTTAAGGAGTAAGCTTTAAAATTTCCGGCAGATTTGTGCCAATTCCCATAGACTGCTGACTTTGCATAATTTATGCACACATTAATCTCTATACAAAACAATAGATACTCCGAAAATTGAAAGCATTTTGAAAAATTTATTTCGACGTTTCGACTAAACTATAGTCATCATCAGGAAATGAATGATGATGATATTACATATGTACAAGTATATATAGTGAAGTAACAAGATACGATTAGTTAAATATTAATAGATCTTTAGAGGCTTTAGTTCCATGGTTTAGGGACGGTTTCATTCTATTAATAGCGATAGACTCTTGATAAAGTATCAACGACCAGTGATTGGATTTATCTATTATCTTAGTGTTAGTAAATATTAAATCTGTTACTAAACATTTAATGTTATTAACTTCGTCATTAGGTGTTAGTTCGAGTAGGTTTTTTACAAAATTGAATTCATTACAGTTAGTAATATGGTTATATATTTCAGAAGAGTCAAGAGAAGAATGCTCTTTAATACGGGTATATAGGCAGCGATCAGTTTATTTTATTCTATTTTACAGATTTTGCCATTGAACACAATACACTATATTACATAAAATTAATTACAAAATAGGCTACATGGCTGGAATTACCACACAGAGATTATTAGTTCGATCTCCAAAAACGGGATACCAAAACATTTAAAAATTAATACAAGTATATAAACAATAACAGACTTGCAGACAAACAGACAGACATGAATAAATTTAGCAACAAGATCGATTGGACAAGCTGCTCAATGGGCGAGTTGTGTGACACTTCACACAAACAGACTTAAATTTCCTTAGTGAGATTATTATAATGTTTCATTAAACAAAATTTAAAAAAGACCACGGTTTTGTTGGCTTCTCTGATCGAGTAGGGGAGTGTGTTCCACACATTGGCAACTCTGACGTAGAAGCTGTTTTGATAGCTCACTGTCTTGTACTTGGCTACTTCGAGTAAAATGCCATTGGTTGCGTTGGTATTTCGTGTTTCTCGAGCAGGAGTCTTGATGGAGATGTTTCTGTCAGAGTTAGAAATGATGCACTTGTACAGATACACCAGATCCAAATACTCATGCCAGTAACATATAGGGATGATGCCGATGGTGATCAATCGTTCCTTGTAAGAGATGTCTGTTTTGAGTTTTTCCTACGTAGTTAGCATTACATCCAGGGCATTTCAATTCATGCACAACAGAGCTATAATTTTAATCTCTATATTTTGTAGCTTTTATAACTCAAAGTAAATTTTTAAAATCATACAGAATGATCTCTTATATACTTACTTTTTGCGAACTTTCTAACGGCAAGAATCATTTTAGGTAAAAGTGAACTTGAAATTTCACGTTTTAAGAAAATACTGTACAATAATTTTATGAGGAAAATAACAGTGTAACGACGGGGTTCATATTCCATATTGCTTCCTATATGTGTTTATCTCTATCCCTACCAAATTTGGTACTTGTACTATAAAACCCACAATTGTAGTATTCTGTACAAGAAACTTCATTGTTTGTGTCTGAACTACCTGAAAATATCAAAATCACATGTCACGTTTTAACCGAACGGCCTTTGTCAGGCGCATCAATGAAATACAAAGAAGCTTCCCGCAGCTAGAGGGTATTTGCTTGAAGTGTTTTTAATCCTTTTTTCTCCAGCACTTTAAAACACAAAATTGTTTGTTGCCAAGTGATAATCTGTCAGTGAACAGGAATTGGGTCAACATTTCAAGAGTGATATTCTTTGATTCAAACAAAATGTCGTATTCTGAAACGCGAGCTATTAAAGCCAACATTGCCGTGATATTATGTAATGTACTAGTGATATTACCAGGCTGAATTTTCTCTTCTTTAATTTCTATGAAGTATATTGTTGCGCGACTGTATAAAACAGCTCCACATGTCAAGAGATACATCAGTTTCTCGACTGCTAAGCAAGACTACATACGAACAGTTTACGAACAGTTTACGAACAGTTTACGAATAGTTTACGAAGCCATGGCATATATTTGGAATAGGTCTATATCGCTTTTGTTGTGCTTGGTTGTCATGCTGCCAAGCTTCCCTTGTCAAAGTCAAAGAGCGATTAGGCCTTTCTGGAGATATAGAAAACCAACGATACAACCGGAACCGACATTACCGCCAATTGAAAAGAATCCCGAGTTTTATAAGAGTAAGTTAAACCTTGGAGGAATGTAATAGTGTGTCACTTAAATAAGTAAAAAAAAAAAGTAAAGTAATAATTAGGAGGTGGAATGTTGTAGCTGAATGCTAAATGTAACAAAGCAAGAAATACTTGCAAGTAAGCAGCTCAAGGCATATATCGTATCAAGGCATAATATTTTAAGGGCATGCACCGCTGCCAGCATATGTACTGTATATACTACTCAAGCCTGGTTCACATATATACCTGCAGCATGTCGGCGGGCTATTGTCGTTAGCAGTTCAACCGAATAATTCACGAAAGAATGTATATGATCAACAGCTGTAAACAATGATAGCGCAGGCATACCGCCAGGCATATGTGAACCAGCTTCATACATGATTTATTACAGTGAAAAGTTAAGTAAGTTCGTAAGTAGAGGCGAGCAAGTATATAAGTAGAGGCAAGCTTATAGAGCTACGCCGAATTGCGAAGGTCGCGCCGGAGGCTTAAATTTCTAAGGGCGCGTCCGGCAACCAGCCAACTTTATGACTCATGGGTCAATTTAGGGCTTATTTTCTCCCAGCACACACCACTGTCAACATTTCCCGTGGGAGGAAACCGGAGTATCCGAAGAAGACCCGCGACTTTCGATAGAGCGTTGACTGACTCTTTTTCATATAAGTGTCATGAGTCCGCAGTGTGAATCAAACCCTCAGTGGTGAAAGGCTCTTGCTCTGACGCCATCGAAACCTCCACATGCTAAGCTAGAAGAGTTAGTTTAGTTTGAAAGAAAAAAAGCAGGAAATGAAACTGGAGAACCCGAAGAAAATCCGCGAAGGTCCGTATTCTAAGATCTTTAAATTTACTTACTTGTATTTAAATTTGCGTGATACTAATTTTCTATGGAGGGTGATTACCGCCATAATCATATGAATAGAGGACAAAATTACTCAAATATGATTGGCTAATGATGAGGGCATTTTTTCTTAATTCAGGGCAAAATTACTTGTACCTGATTGTCTCAGACGCAAGCGCGGGAAGTTTCTTGTTTTAAATAGCAATAAAAACAATGGCTTCTTGTTTTTTCATTGAATAAAAACAATGGCTTCTCGCTTTGTTATTGAACAATTAAAAACTTCTAGTAAAAACTCGAATACCAGAAAAAGTACAATTTTAAGGGTTGGAGTATTTAAGAAATGGGCAGCATTAAATTAAGGAACATCGATATCGGCGAACACATGGAGACATACGAGGTTTAAGAACTTGACAAGTTCACAATTAACTTACGACTAAATTTTGCCCTCTATGATTCGCGACTCGGGCAATTTGTGAAACTTTGAAAACACGCGTGAAATTAAACCTTAATTTTACTCGGCCCCGTGCGATTACCTATACAAATTAATATTTGAATTTCGCATTCCAAGTTCTAGATTATGTTCAATCCTTACTCTATGTTTCGTGCTTTATGATGTCAATGAATTGAATTTTGATATTAAAGAATTGAATTTTGATGTTCGCAATTGTATTTGCACTTATGTTTGGGTATTCTGTCCTTAAGCATTCCATTGTGATGACGTCACATTATGCGCGACTCTCAGAACACAATCTTCAAATAATCAATTTAAGCGATTAAGCTATAAATTGCGGTTAATGGAGTAATATGTTCTAGAAGACTCTATTTGCCCGATGGTGTTTTCAGTCTGCCAACGCATCTGCGTCACAACAATTAATCCGTACAAGGTCCAAGTACCTCGGTAGAACAAGGGAACCGTTTTCTAGTCGTGTTAATATTACAAAATATCAGATATAAATATCGAACTTTGGCTACTAAGCATGTGAACAACTGATGCAAACTTGGGATTAACCAATCAGAAATTATCCTGAAGGTTTTTCCTTCACGTGCATACGTACAATGGCCCCCCTTTTTGCGCAAGGACTTTTAATCGCAGGTTTCGACGTGCACTGCTCATTCGCAAGACTTTAGCCAGTGCGTTAACATCTCTGGCAAAATTTTTGGCTAATAATTTAAGGGACCAAACCTTGGCAAAGAAATGGAAATTTAAAAAACCCATCCCACCTCCCAATAATCATGTACACCAATCTGCGTCTCTACAATATGGCGTGTTGTAAAGACTGTTAATTAGAAAAATGAATATTCCTGTATATAGCTAAGCATGTTACTCATAGATTTGTAACCCACTTATGTGAAGAAATGCAATAAATAATTATATACTGGCAGGGAAGTGCTGTCTGATGGACAACACTTCACCACGTGAAGCGCAATCACTGCTCATTTAGGTCGCACTGAAGTCCTGAATGAGCAGACCTAGAGACTCGATGTGGTCAGTCAGGTTATCAGTTGCGGCCCGGGGTAATCCGCCCTATACCAATAGTTGTTCACCAGTCCAACTATGTCTCAATGTCAACGACTTGACGGATCTGAACGGGGGTTCGCATTCTAAATGCGATATTTTTTGCGCACTTTAAATTGTTCGCAAATTGGAACGGTAAAAAGCTAGAAAATCGTTAAAATGACATTTCGACACCTTTAAAATTTTCTTGAAAGTTTTTGTTAAAATTTCCAAGCCGTGCACCTGAATGAATCGAAAAATTCCACGTGAAGATAAGCAGGGCAGTTTCTTTTAGCAGCAGTAACAATGAATACGCATGCTATTTTGAACTTGCTTGTCTATTTTCCAGTATTTTGTGTTTCAGTGGTAAACACTAACACGCGGATTAAATTTCGTGCATGCTAAAACAGTAAAGGTTTACTGCAGATTTACAGATTTTTCGCTGAGTTTTAATCTCGTGCACTTCTTACGGTCCCGTTACGATCTGCGCAAATTTTAATATTCACATGAATTTAAATACATATATAGTATGCTTTTTAACCTCTTGCATACTCTGATCACTCCGAAGACGAGCGTTCCTTGCTTTTAACCAAGCTGTCTATATATCTATTATCTATTTAGAATTGCAAAAAATCCCTCCCAAAAATGTAACGGCTAAACTGGTGATAACAAATATCCTGCGCGTACTTCCACGCGGCAAAAGAGGCGTGAAGTTAGAAGATGTAGTAGTCGTTATGGATGGATCCGGTTCGATTGGCTCGTGTGAATTTAATAATGGAAAGAAAGCTATGAAAAGTTTAATGCAATACGAACAACCGGCAATTAACGCTAAGTATGCTATGGTTACATTCGCCAATGGCGCGAGGAGGGAGTTCAATTTCTTGCCGCAGTTAGATGCAGCAGCTAAAATTAGTGGTGTCAAGTATCCTAGTGGAGGGACAAACACTCAAGCTGGACTTGCTGAAGCATTAGATCTGTTTAAAAAGGGTAAGAATTGCAGTGCTTATTGAAATAAAATTTTGCACCTCTGCCCTAATTAAGAGATTAATTACACTGTCAAGAAAATTAAAAATCACCAAATAAAATACTATAATAGTGGTTTACACCCGTTTTCAAAATTACGCGACCTCCCTGAAAAATACTCTTACTTCAAATGTCAGTTTTATGTCACAAGAAGTGCTAAAAATAACAAACTTAAACAAACTGTCAAAAGACATTTTAAACCGTATTTAATACCAAAACTGAACAAACATGAGTTAGTTAACTTAGATATACAAACTAAAGCACAATACAAACCAACACAACAGAAATATGTGCCGTGAATAACTTTTAAAGTTTGAAAAATAACAATTTAGCCTGGAATTTAGCTGAACATTAGTATAAAACACGCGCGCTGGATGATAACGGTGATGTTATGATTTTGTTTGTGCATGCTTAAATTTTGCAATAATTCTCACTAAAATATCTTGAAAATCATTGTAAGGCGCCTGTTTATATAAAGCATACAAAGCATATACTGTCGACAAGGAACCGCAAAACTCAAAGTTTAAACTTCGTGACCGAATGACATAAAACTGACATGTCAACTCTAGCATTTTCGTCCTTGGTCGCGTAATTTTGAAAACGGGTGTAAAAATGTTCGTAAAATAAAATATTATTTTGATGCGAAACATCCCAAACTTCATGGCCGCTTGCTGCCAGGAAACATAATTGATGATCTTATTGTTATTATGATTGTTAGTGTTATTATGCATGATTGTTGTTGTTATTATGATTGTTGATAGTGGTGCATGTTGTTATTCTTGATGTCATTATTCTCTTCGCTGTTGTAATTTGTTGCTGCTGCTGTTGTTGATGTTTTTGTGGTTGTTGCTACTAAATTGTTATCCCTGTTAATCACGGTTGTTGCTATTATAATTGGTGTCGTTGTTGTTATTATTATTCTTGGTGTGTCGTCGTCGTTGTTGATTTTACTGTTGCTGCTGCTGTTGTTGTTGTTGATTTTTCTGTTGCTGTTGCTGTTGCTGCTGTTGTTGTTGCAGGTGTTGTTGTCGTCATCATCGTTATTGCTGCATGCCGATGTTGTGTCAGTTGATGTCAAAGTTGCTTTTTTAATATTGATGTTAAAATATGGAATATGCGCAACCAGGGTAAGAAACAGCAAAATTGAGACGTTCTCTGACAAAATTAATTTTTAATGACAAGCATATTATCTATTACACGTTGACGTTATGTAACTAAGTAATTAAGTAAGTATGCATATAAGGGCTTGAGGCAGTGTGCATTCAAATATTGTAAGTGCATGCCTATACTTAACTACCTAGTTGCGCGTACGTCATTGTATGCCAATGTAAGTGCGCTTGAACTTAAGCGCGCTTGAAATGTGATACAATACTGTTATAATTGGTGTCGTTGTTGTTATTATTATTCTTGCCGTTTGTGTCGTCGTCGTCGTTGATTTTGTTGCTCCTGTTATTGCTGCTGCTGCTGTTGCTGCTGCTGTTGCTGGTATTGTTGTTGCTGTTGCTGCTGCTGGTGTCGTCGTCGTTATTGCTGCCGATGTAGTTTCAGTTGATGTCAAAGTTGCTTTTTTAATATTGATGTTAAAATATGGAATATGTGCAACCAGGATAAGAAACAGCAAAATTGAGACGTTCTTTGAAAAAATTATTTTTAATGACAAGCATATTATGTATTTCATGTTGACGTTAATGTAACTAAGTAATTAAGTAAGTATGCATATAAGGCCTTGAGGCAGTATGCATTTAAATATTCTAAATGCATGCCTACTTATCTACCTAGTTGCGCTTATGTCATTGTATGTCAATGTAATTAAACGCGCTTGAAATCTGATACGATTTGCTTAAAACACATCGTGCTGAAATGCCCATCTCAAGTGGATTAAATATTTTAACTATTAAATATTTTAGTTTTAAGAGGCAAATAGACAGGTAATTTGGGATGTCATTTTAAGTTAAGATAGAGACAAAAGCGGTAGTACCAAACTATTTTATTTATCTTTACAGCGTTAGTGATTTTCCCATTGAAAGCAACAGGAACTAGTAAATTAACATAATTTGTTCAGAATTTTAACGTATCAATTTTAACATTGTTGTAGCCTGCGAGCAGGTGCTAGATTGGGCTGGACCTGGTTGAAATGTAACCTGCACGATTAACTTAGACCGTTTCTTTGCGGTAAATTAATTAAATAAATTTTCTATGCTAATAGGCTTCTATTCTCTACTAGGCCAGCCTGGAAATATAGTTCCTTTTATATGGCGGGCTAATATTGTTGTTGTTATTTCTGCTCTTGTTCATGTTGTGATTGTTGTCAGTGTGATCATCGTTGTTTCAATCGTCGTTGATAAAATCGTTGTCTTTGTGATTGTTTTTTTACCGTTGTTGTGATCGTTGTCGTTGTGATCGTTGTTGTTGTGATAATCGTCGTTGTTGTGATCATCGTTGTTGTGATCGTTGTTGTTGTCATCGTTGTTTTAATCGTCGTTGTTATGATCGTTGTTGTGATTGTTGTTGCTGTGATCGTCATTGTTGTAATCGTTGTTGTTGCGGTCATCGTTGTTGTGATCGTTGCTGTTGTGTTCGTCGTTGTTATGATTATTGTTGTTGTGATCGCTGTTGTGATCGTTGTTTTGTGATTGTTGTTGTTGTGATCGTCGTTGTTGTGATCCTTGTTGTGATCGTTGCTGTTGTGATCATCGTTGTTGTTGTGATAATTGTTGTTGTGATAATCGTTATTGTGATCATCCTTGTTGTGATCGTCGTTGTTGTGATCGTCGTTGTTGTGATCGTCGTTGTTGTGATCGTCGTTGTTGTGATCGTCGTTGTTGTGATCGTCGTTGTTGTGATCGTCGTTGTTGTGATCGTCGTTGTTGTGATCGTTGTTGTTGTGATCGTTGTTGTTATGATCATCGTTGTTGTTGTGATCATCGTTGTTATGATCATCGTTGTTGTTGTGATCGTTGTTGTGATCGTCGTTGTTGTGATCATCGTTGTTGTGATCGTCGTTGTTGTGATCGTCGTTGTTGTGATCGTTGTTGTTGTGATCGTTGTTGTTATGATCATCGTTGTTGTTGTGATCATTGTTGTTGTTGTGATCGTTGTTGTGATCGTCGTTGTTGTGATTATCGTTGTTGTGATCGTTGTTGTTGTGATCGTCGTTTTGTGATCGTCGTTGTTGTAATCGCTGTATTTGTGGTCGTCGTCGTCCTCGTTCTTATTGCTACTGTTCTTTTCTACTATTGCCCTTGTAATTATTGTTTTTCGCATCATATACAGTATGAAATCTAATTTTGCAGGAAGTCGCGGTTCCGGCACGCGCAAGGTTGTACTACTATTAACAGATGGGCAGTCCAACGTTAAAAAAGAATGGACAGTACCAAACGCTAAAAAATTAAAGAAAGTGGAGGCGGAGGTTTTCGTTATTGCTGTTGGGGGTCAGCACATCTTGGGAATCGAAGAGATGGCAAAAGTGGCCTCGTTTCCCCCATCTAAATTTTTGTTTCGCGTAAAAAAGGTGGGGGACTTTTTAGAAATCGTAAAGTTGGCGATCAAAAAAGTAGCCCCGGGCAAATACAAACTGATCGAAAAATACAAATCTACGTGCTAATTGCACATTTAAATGGAGACAATTTGTAGAGCTTATTACAAAACTTTATCCTTTTATTAATAAGCATTGTTTCGTGTGGTTATTATTTATTTTAGTTAAATTTTCTTTGACTATTTGTTCTTAATCTTATTATTGGTCAGTGAGCTTAATGTATATCTGGAGTGAGAACTCAAGTAAAAAAATTGAAGCCATGATCACATAGCAGAGACATACAGAGCTGTAACTGACCGTTGTAAACACTGCGGAAGCTTACGATTTCATGTTCCCACTTTTTTTCAGGCGACCGGGAAAAAAATGATCAATTGCGCGTGCTCAGCGAGTTTAAAGTGAGTCGTCATCAGGTCGTCATCCAATCAGATGCATGTATCTAGTAACTTGCTGAGCATGCGCACAAAAAAGTGGGTACACTAATTACAACTCTGTATGTCTCTCCTCTGTGTCATGATGGAGCTATTGGAGGTTAGTTTCGGTCTCTTTCTATTGTTTTTATCTGAGCGGTTAACACGAAGCTGCAAGGAGTATGCCGAAATTTTGTATTTTGATCTCGATTTAAACAAAATAATATGGTTTTATAAACTGATAACTTGTTTAGTGCTACATACGGCCCATTAAAAAGAACTGGAATTAACAAGGGAAATGATATGAAAACTGTTTTCGACCTGCATAGAATTTTGACGTCAATTTCTGCCATCTTGGCTTCACGTTTCTCACAGCCAGAATGAAGTTCCCGAATTCTTGCTTATGGCCATATATAATGGTATACTCGTTGCAGCTTCATGTTAACCGCTCAGACAAATAGACAATAGAACGAGACCGAAACTGACCTTCAATAGCTCAATTTCACTGTTACTGGTGTGCGAGTTACGTCATCAGCGCCATGTTGAATAAATTTGACAAAGGATTTTCCTTGTTTGGAATTAAACTTTCATCAAACATACTGTCTTTTAAATTTCTGAAAATTGGTTGCAGCCACGTGGGAATATCACATCACGCTAAGAAATCACGCGATTTTGTGTGGCAAAAATAAGGAACAGCGAAGAAAACGACTATCTAAATTTGCCAAAAAAACTGGCTTTCTGAATTCGTATTAACGAAGGTAAATACAAGCAATAAACGAGAGCCTACCGAAGCAAACCTGCGAAATTTTGACGGCTAATGGATGTCGTGCATGTTTTTATTTGGCTCTAAACCTTTGCCACCCAAAATGGCGGAAGTCAAACAATTATTATGTCGAATTATGTGTTGTGACGTCACTTGCATACAAGGACTGAATATATACACGCAAAGAGGGCTTCGAGCCTTCGGCGATCCAATCGTCAGAGCAAGTGTTTTTCACCTCTGAGATTGTCTTCAATCATCGCTGCGGACACATGACACTTGAAAGTGTTAGTCAACGTTCCACTATATGATTTATACTATTCGTAAATTTAGTATAGGTTATTTTGACATTTGTCACTCCTACGGAGAGTTCGTTTCACTTTTCATGTATTTCAGTCCAGGAGACTTTTGACGCTTTAAACCAACTTAATTCAAGGAAATCACCAGGACTGGACGGCATAAGTGTAAAACTATTAAAAGATACAAGCGATGTTATCGCGCAACCATTAGCCAACATCTTTAATCTATCTCTTCAGACTGCAATTTTTCCGGACGAGTGGAAAATCGCTAAGGTATCACCAGTCTTTAAAGAAGGGAATAAAACTGATTGCGGAAATTATAGACCAATCTCTGTAATTTCTGTGGTTGCTAAGCTGTTTGAAGGGCTAGTGTACAATCAATTGAGAACGTTTATTGCCGACAATAGCATTCTTGTAGAGCAACAGTCCGGTTTTCGTTCACAACACTCTACTGAGACGGCACTCTCAGGTTCGACAAATGAGTGGTTATATAACATGGACAGTGGCTTAATCAATGGAGTCCTGTTCTTGGACTTGAAAAAAGCTTTTGACACTGTCGACCATGAAATCTTATTAAAGAAACTTCACCTATACGGCATAAAAGGAACTACTTACGCATGGTTTGAATCTTACATCCAAAATAGAAAATCGATTTGTTTAATGAATGGGAAAAAATCACATGCTAGAGAAATTAGGTGTGGGGTACCACAAGGTTCTAACCTTGGCCCCATCCTATTCCTGTTGTATATTAACGATCTACCTAAGTGTCTAGAAACAACCAAGGCCAACTTGTTTGCTGATGACACAAATCTTTCGTGTGCCGGCTTAGATGCCAATGAAATCGAGACTAAACTTAAAAGAGATCTTGAGAATGTTCATAGTTGGCTTAGATGTAACAAACTCACGCTAAACGATAGCAAAACGGAATTTATGATAATTGGCTCTAGACATCATCTTACTAAATTTGAAGACAACCCAGAGATTTCATTAGCCATACGAGATAATAATATTAAACGGGTCACCAACAAAAAATCGCTTGGTTTTATCATCGACGATCAATTAAAGTGGGGTATACACATTGACGCACAATGTAAAAAAAATCTCAAAAAATATTGCATTACTAAGAAGAGCCAAGTTTCTTTGTTCCTTTACACATTCTAATCAAAATGTATAATGCTGTAGTATCTCCTCACCTGACATATTGCTCAACAATATGGAATGATGGATCTAATACCATTCTTAACAAACTCTCTAAGTTACAAAGAAGAGCAGCTCGGGTTATCACAGGACAATCATACGATGTTCGTTCCACTCAAATACTAGAAAGTCTCAATTGGATGCCAATTGAAGACATTTTAAAGAAAAGAGAAATCATTATGACGTTTAAAGCTTTAACAGAATTTCTTCACGAGATGCGAAAGTAGTAATTATTCTCTAACGAGTTTAACTATTCTGCGGGTTGCGGGCTGCGGGCCGAAAAATGCGGGCTGCGGGCCGAAACTGCGGGCTGCGGGCCAAAAATTGCGGGCTGCGGGCCAAAAATTGCGGGCTGCGGGCCAAAAATTGCGGGCTGCGGGCCAAAAAATGCGGGCTGCGGGCCAAAAATTGCGGGCTGCGGGCAGAAAAATGCGGGCTGCGGGCAGAAAAATGCTAGCACGATTGCAAGCCGCGGGTCTAGTTGCGGGCCTGACGAATTTTTAAAAAAATATTGTCAAAATGTAAAGAAAATAACAATATTATTCAAAATTTTCTGTCTTTGAAGTATATTCTATGTCTAATGTTATTCGTAATCATATGCATACGAATTTTTCCTTAAATTCATTCTTTTTGTAATATCATGGAATCTCAGTTTATGAGTCGTACCAGACATTAAAACCTGTTTCGACCGGGATAACTGTACACCAATCCCAGGCTTTCTGGCATCCTTGTGTAGAAAAGTAGGACAAAAGTAGGACTAGAATTTTAGGAAAAGTAGGAATAAAGTAGGAAAACATGTAGAAAAGTAGGACAAAAGTAGGAGTTTTGGAGATGCAAATAACACAAAAATATACAAAATTGGCCCCCTAGGATATATGTGGTAAGGGGTAGACCATCAGATATCTGATAGGGAAGTTGTGTGAATTTTTGGTGCTCAATATTTTTATGTACTCATTCATCTATGCAGGATTTTTTTCTCAAAACGTTTAAATTGCATCGGTATAAAAGCTAAGGCATCTGCTCATTCTGCTCTGCAGCAACACAATTCAAATGTATGTATTGGGCTACACAATGCACCAATCCGCACTACGGCAGAAGCGTATATCAGGGCCGTAGGAAGCTGTTTTCGATTGGGGGTGGGGGGCTGAAAGCGAGGGCCGAAGGCCCGAGGAAATTTTTAAATTTAGAGTCTCTGAAATGCCGTTTCCTGGACTTTGGGGAAAACTTGACAGAATTCTAATGGTCAGAAAACAGCGTTTTAGTATGTCGAAATTTACAATTTAGCAGTACTAAATGGGCGAAGGCGTATTTAATTAACTATATATTCGATAAGTTGCAGGAAAGTATGGGTAATATCTTCATTCTTTGCAGTTTGCATGTCATGGATTAAATGATAAAGGTCTGCATGATTTTGAAAAAAAATGATTATTAGCAAATTATTGGGGAGCTGCAGCCCCCCGGTTGCTACGGCCCTGTATATATGATGCTTGATTAACTGGGGGGGAGTTGAATATTTGGAATCTCTAGATCGTCGGAAATGGCACTTTCAGAGTCTTTATTAATTTATTGATTATGATTCTAGAGATGCTATGAAATTATATACTCGGAAAATGTACTTCTTCTCCTCCTGAGATCTTATCATCTGGGACACAAATAGGGAATAAAAATTACGAGTCCTATAGATCTAATTACGAGAGCTATAACATACTGATTCCCCAAGCTGTCTTAAAAAAGTAGGATTTTATGAGAAAAAGTAGGAAAAAGTAGGAAAATCAAGCAATTTTTAATAAAAAATAGGAAAAGTAGGAAAGTTGAAGAAAAGTAGGAAAAAGTAGGAAAAGTAGGATGGCAAGAAAGCCTGCATTTGTTTAGATATACCACGAGGCTAGTGAGTTGTGTAAAGTTCTCTGCTTTTCAATAGGGATGGTTTTTTAGTTTGATACGACAACACATTTTGATTACCACATAATTTAATTAATGGTGGCGTCGTAAAGTTTCATACAAGAATGATTGTGAGCTCATGTAGTCCTGTTATTGTACACCATTTTGTGAAATATTGCATACAGTTGCACACAGTGCAACCCCCCATGGATTTCTACAAATGCTGACCAGGCATATTGCAGGCTCAAGTGGTATCCAAGTTACCAATAGTCTTCAGCAGTATTGAAAGTTTCGATATTTGGTATCAGTATCAGCCCATCCCTACTTTTCAAAGAAGCTATATTAGATATTATTCAACAAAGAAACACGTACACATGACTGTGAACTTCTCAGACTTATTGTGATGGAGGACCAGGGGTGGTTTGTTAGTACCTTCCTGCATTTTGGCAGTCCGAAATCAATAACCCCATGCATAGGACACAAAGAATATAGTGTACTGAGATCTGAGTCCTTGTCAGCACTTTTGATTTTAAGAGCCTAGCCAGTGTGCTAGGGGAGAAGTTGTCATCCTGCCCGGCTGCCCCATGAAAACATTCAAAATGGCAGTAAACATTTTTCATTAATTAATCATTATGCATTAATGCAATGGCTGGGAACTTGATGGCCTCACCTTGGCATTCTTTGGCGGGGGGGGGGGGGGATCACTGAGGTGAATATCAGGTTGACAGGTTTTTGCTGAGTCCGACCTCTGTACAACTTATATTATTAAAAATTGTATTCTCTGGTGCAGAGAGCCCCAATGGCTGGGATCTAAGGCTAAGTGGTAGACATACTAGCACAGAAAACTGGAACGTATTGATTGTTGATCAACCTTGTCTCAGGGTTACAATTTCAATATCATCAATAGAATTGTAATGCAATATTACAAGCTGTGTGATTGGTTCATTACCAATTTATTAAAAACATGTCAAGTAATGTCAAGTAATACTTGTGCAACAATATTATACACTTGTGAGTGTAAAGTCCAGTCTCACAGTTTCACCAAATTTACCATTTATACTTGGATGGTAAATTGGCTAAAAATTCCGCTTCTTCTGGTGTATTTTCTCGTCCCAGCATAGCATTTCTTTGTGGATACCGACCGAATTTATCAATGATCTCTTTATGATCCTTTGCATACTGTACAATATTCTCCCCGAATTTCTTCTCGTCTGGTGTTTTTGCATCCTCGGCGAGTTGTGTAAACAATTTCACCGATAGCTCTTGGTTGGCTCGATTCTCGCTGTGCTCGAACGGTAGGTATATAAACATACGCTCGAAGAACGAGAAGTCCAAATGGTTGTGCGTCTTTTGCTCGATAAATTTGTGAGCTACCGCCAATGCAATCGGGTCGAGTCCGTTCATTCGCTTCGTAGCCTTGTTCACATTTCGACAGAATTGATCACAGATTAGGATCAAAGCTAGGCTTGCCCTCGGTTCGTCTTTCCATTCTTCTAGCTTGCCTTCGAAAGCAGCTTCCACTAAATCTCCGTATTTTTGTCGAATTTCAGTATTCGCTGCTTCGCCGCCGCCAAACCATGCTACATGACCCGGTCTAAACCAAAAATCGATGATTTCTTCGATTTTGTTTGACATATTCGAAGCAAAGGAACGGTAGAATATTATTTTGGCAGTCAGGACTAGCGATGCTTTGCAGCAGCGGCGTGAGATGACAGCAAACATGGCATATTCTTTTACAAATTTGCAGCGTCACGCCCACGCCGTCACCTGCAAAATTACGATAATTTATGCCAATTGCAAAGTCAGTGATTTCTTCGTATTACAAAGTCAGTGATTTCTTCAGTGGCCCCGTGCGGGGCAGGGGGGGATGCCCCCCTCCCCCTATTGTTGAGACCCGTCGGAAAATTGTCAATGTTGTCGACGGGGAGATTTAAAATGTTGTCGTCCGGTAAATTTTTTGGTTTGTCGGAAAAATTTTCTCCCCCTATTGTTGAGCCCCGTCGGAAAATTGTCAATGTTGTCGGAAATTGTCAAAGTTGTCGACGGGGAGGGGGGAGATTTAAAATGTTGTCTTCCGGTAAATTTTTTGGTTTGTCGGAAATTTTTTTCGGTTTGTCGGAAAAGTACTGCCCTTGTCCACCCC